TTATAATTCCAAAACTGATATCTGGAATTTAGGGTGTTTATTATATGAATTATGCACATAATAAAAACCATTTTAAGGAGAATCTCTACCTGCTATTCTCAATTCTATTATAAATGGTTAAACTCCTCAACTAACAGAAGCTTTTCCTAAGTTCTATTAAGATATCCTTAATATTACATTATAGAAAGATCCAGAACTTCGACCAGATATAGATCAAATACTCAATATACCTTAAATAAAGGAAGAGTAAATCAAATTGTAAATACTTTATAAAAGTAAAGGACTATTAAATAAAAGAATATGTCCTATTGAATGTCCAGGCTTTGATGAAAAATAAGAATTCAAATAAGACAAATAATCAATCAATAAAGATATGTCAAATATACTTAAATAATCTATTACTCCATAATATAGATAAACTTAATTGGGTTTATAAAATATATTTTCAGAATGTGTATCACCCAATAATAATTATTGTTAAATTTAGAAAAAGCCTTACAAAAAGATTATGACCATTAATACTTAATTAGATGAAAAAGTAGAATAGGAAATAACCTAAAAGAAACCATCTTTTGCTAAATTGCTCTTTAATCCCAAAACTCCTACATCACCAAATAGAAATATATTATTGGCAGATTTTTTGAAAAATAAATTAGGATAGGAAATATTTTAAAGAATGAAATATTTATTAGAAAACAGCAAAGATCCAATATAATTATTAGAAAATAGAGAAGAAATGATGTAAATTTTGGGAGAATAGAATTTAGATTGTATAAAAGTAACTCTATAATTTATTTTAGATTTTTAAAATAATAATAAGTAACAGTATAACTCCTCCTAGTAGCCATTTTAGAACAATGAGTGCTTCATATTAATTTATTACTTAAAGAATTAAAACAGTTAATAACCATGATAATAATATTCCAACATCTGAATGGGATGAATAATTTTGATTATAATTAGCTTCTAATATATATATATAAAGCAATTTTTATAAATTTATTTCATGAACTATTATTATTATTGTTTAATTTTTGTATTGCTTGTATCTATTAAGTATTTTTTGATTCAAAAGTATTTATCATATGAGAATTACCTTAAGTTTATGTAACTTAATTTTGATGATACTTTTATGTTGTGGGATCTAATGACGTAATCAAGTATTGCTTTTTATTAATAAATAATGTTTATTACATCATTCTCAATAAGACTCTCAATGAATTGACCTTTATTGAGGCTTTTTTTCTTTTTATACCCAATTAATATTTATATAATAAGAACTATTGTGCAGGTAGAATATTCAATTATTCGAGAAATCTTTTTTAATCTATACCAATCAGAATCATGTGGATCAATAATAGGTACCTTTCCATTACCTAATTTCTGTATTTAGATAAATATACCATTATCATCTAATAAGGCATGAGAAATTTGAGTTATGGCTGAATATAACATTACTAAAATAGCTAGAATTAAAAGACTTGTTTAATAGTAAATATATTAACATCATTCGAGGGAATTAAATATGTCTTCTTTTTGGTTTAAATTAATAGAGGTAACCTTCAATTATGATTAAACTAATAAACACTCCTGACTACATGCATCATATTAAATTACTACACAACAAATTATAAAGTAGTTTGTAAATCTACTACTATCATCATCTAAATCTACGATTATCACTATTAAAGTGCAGCATAATGCTAGAATTATTACCATCAAGGTAAGAATTGTAATTTTGATTATATTCATAATTATAAACTTATAAATATATTATATAATTAACAATTATTATTACTATAATGCAATTGTTCATCTTATATCAATTTACTTAGATTCAAATTTCATTTAAATTTTTAAATAAATACTCTTAATTTTCATTATGTTAAATTTATTTATTAGATTTTAGAATTTGATGATTAAAATCAAATCAATCATATCAAAAGGTGGTGGCAATTATAAATAAGAATCAAATTAATCTTAATCATTATTACTATAAATTATATTAAGTTATTTATAAATAAAATATAATAATGGAACAATAAAATAATATTTAAATGTATAATATATTATTTTTTACTTGAATTTCACAATGATGTAAATCTATAAAAGGATATTAATTTATTTTATATAAAGATAATTGATTTACTTCTTTAAATTAAATGGAATATGTATTCTTAGAATAAATAAATGATTCACATTTTACATTTATTTGATCATATTAGAATATCTATTATTATTATTCTATTTATATAAATAATATTTATTGAATTATAAATTGTGACCTTTAGATTTAATTAGTTAGTTTATTATTATTTAATTTAATAAAAAAAAAAAAAACCATTCAATAATTATATAAATTATAAAAAAGAGAATCCTTTTTATTTTAATAAAATTAAAGTTTATATAATGTCTTAAATTTAATAACATAATAATATATAATATCAACTACTATGTATGACAATTCCTGGAATGCAAGATTGGGTAAGACTTTATTTAACTTAAACAGATTAGTTTATGCTTTCAGTTTCTTTATTAAGAAACTTTATTTCTCCAAAGCTTACACTCTTACCACCAAACATATATAAATTAAAAGCTTCATTTGTTTAAGAGACTAAGGATAATGAATAAGTCATTCCTTTTTTTAAGAAAACTTCTTATTCTAATTCAATGTAATAACAATCATTAACAATTTTGAATTTTGAATGTTTAATTTTAATATTTTCATCATAAATAGATATACTTAAATCTAATCCTTCATGTATTCTAAATAAAACAACTACTTCTTTATTTTAATCATTAATATTTTAATCAAATTGATTTAATCCTTAAAATAGTTAAGTTAATAGAAATCCAGATAAAACTAAATTTTAAAGTGGTAAAATATTCTCAGCAACACCACAATTTTTACTAAAATTAAATGCTACTTTTCTATCATTTGATTTAGCAAATGTTTTATGTTTCCATATTTCATTATTAATATTTGATTGTCCTTAATTCATTATCTTTTTTGTATCTTTTTTATTTTATTCAATCAAATTGATGATATTATTGATCATAAATTAAGTTGATAATTACAATTCAATCATTTTTCTAATAGCCTATTAAAAATTTAAGATATTTAACTATTCAACATTATCATGAAATATTAAATTTTCTTTACAATTTGAAAAAGTAGAGATTATTGAAAATAAGTCTGTTGATTTTTAATCAAAATTTCTATCATTTGATTGTATGAATATAGTTTCCATTTGATTTAATTGTTTAAATATTTCATTTTCATGTAAGAGATGTACTTTTTCATAAATCAATTTTTCTAATTCATTTAATTATTAATTGAATTGAATTCTTATCTTATTTATTAGTTGAATAGCCTTGTCCAATTATTATTAATCATCTATACATAATTTTAGTTTAAAGTAACTCATTTAGAAATTGTAGATGAAAATTAATAAGAAATTAATAAAAGAAATTAATTTTTCAATTATTTTCTGTACAATTACGATGATTATTAAATTATAGGAGCAAAAATAAAATAAAAATAAAATGTTCTTGAATTGTTGTCCTAATGTTTACTCTTTGATCTTAAAAACATAAATCTAATTTATTGATCCTGATATACTATTACAGATTGATCTAAAAGACTCTTATTAAGTAATTTTAAAGAAAGACTTTTTACACATATATAAAAAAGGAGAACCTATTTCCTCACTCAAATTACATTTTCCTAATTTGATTAAATGGAAATTTGATAAAGGATTAATAGGATTCACTATAGATAATGAAACTTACTTAACTGAAGAAACATATAAATTAAAAGAGTACTTAAATGGAAGATTATTTTTTTCTAAAATACAAGATTTTTATACTCCTTTATAAATATTAGGAAAAGGAGCTAATGCAAAAGTTCTTTTAGTCAAATAAAAAATTGGTGAAACATATTATGCTGCAAAATGTATTCCCAAGACTGAATCAATAATTTAAGAGATCGAAATTAATAATTAATTGGATCATCAAGCTTTTGTAAAAATAAAAGAAGTGTTTTTAGGAGATACAAGTTATTATATAATAATGGATTTATTATCTGGAAAGAACCTTTCATAATTACTAAAGAATCAACATTCAGGTTTGACAGTTGAATAGTCTAAATTGATTATGCATGTAAATTAATAGTTAAATAGGCATTATTAAGTGGAATTGATTATATGCATTCAAAAAATATTATGCATAGAGATATTAAACCAGAAAATATAGTTTTAGAAAAAATCAATAATCTTACAACATTAAAATTAGTAGATTTTGGTTTAGCTACTTATTCTAATATAAAAAAGTAATTCAATAATCCTAAATATAGATTTAAGTATCCTAAATGTGGTACTCCAGGATATGTTGCACCAGAAATTGCCAATTTGACTGATTAAAATTCTATATATGATAAAAAATGTGATATCTTTAGTGCAGGAGCTGTTTTCTATAAATTATTAACTGGAAGAGATGTATTTCCAGGAACAGGATTTGCTTATGTTTTAGCATAAAATAAAAAATGTCAAATAGATTTTACACTTTTATAATTAAGAAAATTGCCATCAGATGTTATAGTATCTAATATTATAATTTAAGATATTGTTAAAATAAATGTTATAAAAAGATCCAATCCTAAGACCAACTGCTTAAGAATGTTTAAAATTTCCATTTTTTACATCTAATAAATAAAATGAAACTGATTAATTACCAATAACTAATGGGACTTAAAATTCAAATTCTGCACCAACAGGACCATCTAATGCACATAAAAGATAATTTTTTGCTTAATAAAAACAGATGATGTAGACTGTAGATTTCCAAAATGAAGAAAAAACTGAATATAAAGGATCCTTCGTTACCAATGATATGGTGTAATACCCGTAAATGCCTAAGATGGTAATGAAATTCAATACAACTGAATTTGAAACAATATGATAAATTACATAATTAAAATAAATTTAAAAAAACATAACATATCAATCAATTTTAACTTTTTTACTTGCACATTATTCATCTGATTAATTTATTTCTTATTTTTCTTAATTATTACCTTATACAACTATGTTTTATGATTATTATTTAACTATATCAAGTTTCCTTCTTGCATTCCTAAAATTCCCTAATGAAATTATTTATCTTTCTTCTTGAATAGGTTACTGAGTAAATTGTTATTATTGTATTTATTGCTATTATAATAATTAGGCTTTATTCAGCATTTCATATGGAGTTTTCATCCATTCATCACTTTGAATCTCTTTCTATGCTACATTTGTATCTTCTATTTTATCATAAAGCATTGATAATACTTATTTCAACTCTTTAATATCATCATTATCTAAAAATGATAGTTTAAAATGTTGTCTGTCATATGTATCTTGTAGAATTATCTATTTATAAATTAAAGGTCTTACTTATTTTTATTCTTTATTAATTATTTTGCATAAATGAGTTTCTAATATCTGAAGAGCTTTCAAAAAAAACTTAATGCTTCTTTTTCTTTTCCTTCTATATCATTTTATAATGTGAAATTTCCTAGTAAAAAGTAAGTTTCAGCAACATCTCTAGATATTTCTAGATTTTCAGATTGCAAACGCAATTATAATGATTTTTCTAAATTTTCTAAGTTTATTTATCTAGTTCTGCAAGTTTTATGTAGACTTTTGCAAGATTTCTAATATATTTAAAACACCCTATTATGCTCATAATTCCTTTTCAAGTATCACTCTTGCAACTTCTAAGTTTTCCCATAAAATTTGAAAGTCATCTAAATCTTGAATGTTTTCTTAAACTTTATGTCCTTCATTTAAATTTACATTTTTCAATTTATTCTCCTCACTTTTTAATATTTTAATTAAGAAAAGAATATAATGATGAGTAGTACAAAATTATTTACAAAATTTAATAGTGTTTAAAAAACAATAAAGTCAATTAAATGTTAATTTAAAAAAGTCATGTTCTAATGCTTATTTTGGACTCAATCTTTTTAATGGTTCTATTACAATTAAATTCTCTATTAGATTTAGCAATTCCTATTAATTTTATGGAATTAATGCTTTAAACAATTTCATGAGACTCAATTCTTATACCATGAATGAATCATCTGGCCATTTTAAAAATGAGTCATTCAGTTAGTATTCATTAAAATATTCTCTTGCTTCATTTCTACATTATTATATCATCTTAATAGGAATAGGTCCACAATGTTTTTCAATCATAGCTAAATGATAAAAATCATTTCCTTTTGGTTTAAATAATTATTGACCTATAATTAATTAATTAAATAACCTGTAAATAATTCTACTGCTATACATCCCATACACCACATATCACTTAAATTAGTCCAATTATTTTTGAGGATTACTTCTGGTGCTCTATATTATCTAGTATTAATCAATTATGAATGACATTCTGTTTAAAAGACTGCTCCTCCAAGATCTATTATTTTTACATGATAATGACCTTCTTTTTTCCTAATAATATATTAAATTATATGATTACCCTTTCTATTATTTATCTATTAATAGAATATTCTCTGGTTTAAGATCAGTATGAGTGTATCCACTTGTATGCATAAAATCTAAACCTTAGAGACAATCATATAGTATTTATTAAACGGCTTTCAATTCAAATCCTCCGAAATATTTTCCTCTCATAAAATCATACAAAGATAATCCAAGCTAAAAATTACTATGCAAATCTTACATCCTCAAAAACTATGCAATAATTATCCTTATGACTAAATGCTTCATATGCTCTTACTATTTTCTCATTACCTGGATGATATTAATTTTGTTAATGTATAGTTCTCAGTATTCCATATTCAATTTTGGCACTTTGAATATGTCTCTTAACTGATTTAATGATCTTTATAGCCTTGAAATCATTCTCCCCTCCATCAAACACTCTTACTACTCTTCCAAATGTACCATCTGAAATGGCCTACACAAATAAATATCTTTAATTGAATATCTCATCTTTTTATAACTTGTAGTGTTTTTCCTTTTTTGTTTCCACTTTCTCTCTTTATTTTTTGATCTTTTCTCTCTCTCTAGACCTACTCCATTCCATTCCAATGACTAAATAAAAAGTACTTAAATTATTTATCCCATACTCCAAACTATCATCTACTTATATATTAAAATTCTTGGTTGTTTAGCATAAAATAAATTGTTTATATTTTTTTATACATTAATAAATTAATTCTCTCAAAGCATTAAAATTAAATATTCATATACTTCATATAAACATCCTACTTATTTCAAATTCATTTATTTATTCAATTAAAAAATGTTAACATAATTTATGAATATTTTAAGTTTTTGATAGTATATTATTAATCATATTAGATAAAGATGACTGTTTACAATTAATAAGTAATTAAGCTATAATTAAACATAAATTGATAATAACAATGAGTTAATTTCTTGATTTATTTGATGAATTATTGAATTTTATTGTAATTATTTTTGATTGATTTGTTGAACATATATAAATTTCTCATAGATATTTTTTCAGTTAGCTTTTATTATAAGGACTTAAGTTATTTATGGATTTAGAATGATATAAAGTAAAATAGTTTATCACTATTCTATTATATCACTTATGGTTTAAAATATTATTAAATATTTAAGAAAAAAACAAATGAATTCCAATAATTAGATTGAATTCTACTTGAATTCACAGCAAGTTGATTATATCTAAATGAAATTACCCTAAGGATTCTCTTTACACTTAGCTAGTCTAATTCATTAGAGAGAATAAAGAATTGTATTATATGGTCTCAATTATTACAAGTCTAAAAAAGTATCCAGGTTTGATGCTACATTCAAGACACACAAATTGGAATAGACAAGCCAAGAAGACTTAGCACCAAGAAGGGCCTAAAGGATATAACCTTAATAATAAAAAGATAAAAAAGAGCCAGATAATAAAGCATAAAAAATTCTGTAGAAATAAAAACATCATTAATAATATTAATAATAATCTTAATAATAGAAGTAATAATAATAATAATAACAATAATAATAACAATAACAATAATAATCAAGTCCAAAAATTGTGTAATAAATTATATTAAATTTAAGATCCAAATTGTAAAAGTAAATGACTTAATAAGAAAAACTAAATCTAGGGGAAAACATAAAGCAATTGAAAATTGAATATTTGAGAGGAGTTTGGGAGATAGTACAAGAGAGTGTTTAAGCAAATGGAGAGGATGAAGTAGAATTTGACATTGATGCCCTTCCTACTAAAATAGCTAGAAAATTAGAAGCTTATGTAACAAGTCGATTGTATATATTACTTTATTTAATAATTAAGATAAGCAAAGAAAAATAAAAATGATGAAGAGGAAAAATCATTAGATAATAATTCTTCAGATTAATGAATATAAATTATTGAAGTTTGTTTTAAATTACTTTTAAATTGACCTTTATCTTTGAAATTAAATAATAATAATATAGATTAATATAGAATTTATGTAAATTCTAACTCAACTTTAAACTGCCATTTATAATCCCTTTTTAGTCAAATAAGATTGAACTCCCTTCATTTTTCTTTATTAATCTTTAGAACATTTATAGAATCCCCATAAATTAATCCAACTTAAACTTGCACCAATTCCTGCAAATAAGATCTTTGATTAATCTTTAAATATTTACATCAACAAATTCAAAAGATAAAACATTAGTAAATACAAAAAATGCCCATGCACATGAGGCTCCAAATTAAAAAGTCCAAAATACAGAAGAATCTATTTTACTTCTTTTACATTTATCAAAACATTCAAATTTCCAAATTTCATCTCCTTTTGGAGTAATATGTGAATACCATCTTAAGCCAACTAAAAATTTTCCTGTAATATTCTTAACAGTATAAAAATCAAAAGCATGAAAAATCATAATTAGTATGTATTAAAATAATGTGCTTGAAATTATTAACCCTAAAAATAGATATCTATTAATTATAATACTATCTTTTACGAAAAAAATGCACAAAATTTAAAAAATATATGAAAAAAACAAATGCCAGGATGTGCTGCTTTTGTTATATCATATTACGAGATTTCTTCGCGGTCTAATTTAATCAATACATTAACCTTATCCCATGATTGGTTTCATTTCAATACCTTCATTTTTGGAATTCATAAATAATAATTATTTTAAACTAATATATTAAGAATTTTAATGTTAAATATTACATTTCTATGAAATTATATTTATTTACCTATTAATCATATTATAAATATATAATATTTGCAAACGTTATTAAAAATATTCCCAAGTTAATTTTATTAATTTGTCATATCTAATGATTTGATTAACAACTATTTAAATTAACTTATTATTATAATATATTAATTATAAGCTATGTTCATCCCTTTCTAAACATAAAATACAATTTAATTAAATCAATATTTGTAATTTAATCATACTGGATTAAATATAGCAAAACAACCAAATTATTATAGCTAGCTTATTATAATTTATCAGGCTTATGATATTTAGGATTTAATACTAAATCAGAAAGTAGGATGACCCTATTTAGATATTTAATAAATTGTAAGATAAATATATAGAATTTTTAGATAAATAAGATTAATAATTACAATTAGAGTTGGAATTTAATTATTATTCTCAATTTTTTATAAATTCTAAATTTGATATTTAATTAAATGGGAAATACATGTTAATTTTCAAAGATTGATAAATAACATTAAAGAATTAGATTGATAGGAGTAGAATGTTAATAATTTCCTAATAAATAAACTAAACTAGAAAATTATTCATATAATATACAAGATAATATTGATAATTTTGAAGAAGAATTTTATAATAAAGACTTTGAATTTGATATACATAATGAAAAGGTTTATGAACATGAATAAATCAATAAAAACGTTGAAGATGATAAGCCAATTTTACTAAATTCTCTTGTAATTCTTGAAGAAAAATAAACAAAGACTCAATTTGGTAGTTATAATTAAATGGCAAGTGAAGCTTTCGTAAATTGTATTAAACAGAGATTGTCAATAGGAAATTAAAAATTTGATAGATTTAGGGAAAATGTTTAACAACAAAAACATCTGAATTCGATTTAACATTTATCTCATACATATGGAAGAACTTAATTTAAAGTTACAGATAATGATTCTATTACTTAAAACTCAAGTAGAATCTGTAAATCAACAAGAGGTTCTAAAAGTACTTTTTAAAGTAGTTTCTCTTTAAACCAAAAATCAAATATAAAACAGATTTCGTCCAAATAGGTTTGTAACATTAAAATCGTATATTTATGAGATTAATACATAATTATTTTTGAATAAGTGATTTTAAATAGTTAATAAATATTATAAGATAAGATTTATCTTTTTAGTTTCTTACTTAACCTTATGTATAAATTCTTGGCTCTAAATAATTCAAATTATTTGAATATGATTAGAATAAAAATTGATAAAATAATTGAATATTAAAATCATATATACTATTTAAATTAAAATACTTGAATATATATGCATTTAGATATAGATAGATAAGAATTAATGTTACAAAGTGTATTAGTTAAAATATGAATATCAAAAATCATTGTGTTTTTGGTGAAATCTGTTAGGCAAATACCTTGAATTGATTGCAGAGTGTGGACTCAAAGATGTATTAGTTACATTATGAAGAATATTGTATTTGGATGAAGAATTAGATTATTTA